GCTGATGGAACCTGCTGATCACCTCTGTGTGTGGAAAAACAGAAAGGAAAAGTGAACAAGGCTTGTAAAGGAATCTCTCTATTCAGCTGGGCCATATCTGTGCGATTGCAATGTGATGTGTTTAGACTCTTTATGCTCACTGCTTGACTTGCAATAAACAGCGATTAATCAAGTTTGACTGAGTTTAGGATACACTTAATATTTGCAGGTCTTGATATGTGCACCACATCAGGCTAATCCTGTAAATGTTTAGAGGCAAGTTGCAGTTGGATTGCATGGGTTTGTTGCCCTGTCTTGGTTCTTAAAGATGAAGATGGGAGGTACAACTTGATCACTCAATCTATATTTATTTGTGGCAGTCCACCTGGATTAAGTCACCTCAACTTCCACCCTGCTTCAAGTGCACTCCAAGCACTTTTCACTTTTCGAAATGCTGTTTTTTAGTATTAAATGATAAAAATGAAAAAAAAAAATGTTTTGTATACATATATGTTTATCCTTTCAGATTTTGTCAAAATTGCGCAAAATTCCCTCTATCCTTTACCCAACTTTCATAAAATATATCCTGCTCAGACAAATTGCTTGTGCTTAAATTTATGAAGTTACCAGAAAACAACTCCCAAAAAAGGAAAAAAAAAACAGCATCAGAAAACTTTAATAAGATTAAACCTTATCACCTTTTCTACGTCTGCCCCCTCCCTCTGTTTGGAAAGAGGCTTTCCATCTGATGTGAAGCTGTCAGGGGTTTTGTAACAAGAATTGACATCCCTTCATGCAGACTTTGCTTAATTATACCCTCCATTTGCCATGGGTCAAGACCCTGCAAATGTCCGCTTTATAGCTTGCCTTTGGGAGCCCAGGCTCACCTGTTTTTAAATGTTCCTGCTTCCTGCTCTACTCTGGGGGAAATCGTAAGTGACACTCCAGGTCATGTCTCTGGTAGACTGAAAAAAATCATGATATGTATTCATCACAGTTTGCACTATGACGGCCTCGCAGTAAGAAGAATCAAAAAAGTTAATTTCTCAATATGAATGTCATCAGACATTTGTAGTAGTCAATATTTTATGAAGCTTTTATGTTCTCCTTTTCTTTTAATTATTTTGTCTTCAGTAAATTAAAGGAAAAGTTCTTAGCGAATGGGACTTAAGTGCCCTTTGTGGTACAAGATCATTCTCATACCAAGAGAAAACGTTGAATGTCACTTAGTTATCCACTTGTTTATTATTATTCAGATTTTCAAAAAAACAAATTGCGCAAGTTTCCAGAACTGCTGTTTTATCCATAACCAGACATAGTTTGTCAGAAGTTCTGTAAAAACCTGAAGGTTATTTTCACTTTATTTAATGTTCTAGCAACCGTCACTAATTAGATTTAATTGTTTAGGGATAGTTGGATTAATTGTGACACATGAACGAGGGAAAACAGAATTCATGGGAAAAGTGATAGTGTCTCAAAAAACAGAGAGGAGATTGTGGTACATCATGAAACAAATGTCAGCTGTTCCCCTTCAATTCAGTCAATTGATTGAAACAGTTCTCCTTGTGTTTTACTCCGACTGTTCTCCCATTACAGACTCAGACTTTGGAGTACAAAAATAAATTAGTATTAAAAGTGTAGTAACACCCATTGAGGTGTAACACAATGTTAATTCTCTGAAACCCAAATGGCAGTGAGAGTACACCGATAGTTTTAAGCACTTAGACAGCATTGGAAATACAGTACAGATTAAAACACAGTACACCGGAAATTGACAATTGAGCCTTGAAATCAACACGAAACAATTGTGTCAACACATTAACTTTATTTTTTTTCTTCATTAAAAAAGTTCAATTACTCTAACAAATTACACATGAGTGCCTTTTTACCTTATTGCTGACATTTTGATTTCTTCTACATATGTTCCTTCTGATCAAATGAAACCATTTTCATCCCAATTCATAATTAATCTTCTTTTGTGCATTCTTTGATGTTTTGGGGATAAGAGGAATACTTGTGATTTATCGTCTATCAGAAATTAAGAAATTAGCCCATAAATGTAACATTAACAATATCAGAGGTGAACTTAATGTCCTTTAGTGTGACCCCAGAGGCCCCACAAAAGAGATCTAAATGAGTATAACTGCTATCATTATTTATTGCTGAGTTTTTGTCTTGGTTAATTAGCCGTGAAATTAAAGGTCAAACTTCCTAGGTGCCCCCTTCTGAGAAATCTAGAGATACCATTTTCTTAAAGTCTGAATTTGGAGCAGTCTGTCCCAGTCTAATGAGAGAGTCATTTGTGCTACATCAATATATGGAGAAACAAATGAGGGATTCATTTGCATATTGATGTGGAAACAGCCAACCTAATTGTTTATAGTTTTGTAATGGCTAATTCTTTTGAGAAATGTAATGTTGATTGTATTGGTAAACATATCATGTTAAGTACATTTCTGTTTTCATAATTTATTCTTTTTTTTTTCAATTTCTTTGTGATGAATTATTTTTTACCATCTTTATTTTTTCAAAATCCCACAGCTGATTCTGAAATTTTGTATATGCCATATAAAATGAAGTAAGGATATGTTTTCCATGCTAGACTGTTCAAGACAAGCTCACACACTTGAGAAGTAACAGATGTAGAAAGCAAAAACTTCACCCTAATTTTTTAAAGCAGCTTAGAAATAAAAAAAGGATGTTTAAAATGTTTGTTTGATTGTTCATACAAATTGGGATGTTATTAGGGTGCTTATAAAGTTAGTACTTCTTCAACTTATGCACATGCAAAGGCTGAAATTTGTGTATGAAAATTGTACAATTTTTGTGATTTAAAACCTTAATATAAACAAAATTTAAACACTAGAACCTCATCAGTTGTAAAAAAAAAAACCTTATCATCTGTGGTGAGAGATGGTTAAAATAAATGATCAGAAAAAAAGCATGTGAAACAAATAAAAGAATAGTAGTTGACTTTGGACAGAAAAGGAAAATTATTGAAAGCTTGATCAAATTCATTTCATGGAAGACATCGTACCATTAAAATGCACAACATGTCTTTAGTTTAAAGGCAGACTTTATTCTATTACAGTTGCTTTTTGACTGAAAAAACCAAACCATTTTGTCTTTGGTGGAGTCTGCATATCATTCCTAGTAGCTACTGTACACTGACATTGTATGTATAAAAAAAAAAAGATAAAGCACAAAAGCATTCAGGCCTGCGGGTAGAATTTGGATTTTTCTTAAAGGAAAAGAAAAAGACTGTCTTTGGACAATGGAATTTTACAGATTTATTGCAAAGATATATGAGTAGGCAGTAAAGAATCATGTAAATATCAGGGATGACATATGAAAATCAGATAAAGAAAAAGTATTATTAATCTTTTAAAATAAATGGAAGGATATTTGCTTTTGGCAGTTTTATTTTAATGTTATCTAACTTGTTGAATATTATTGGCCTTAAGTATACCTTGTACATATATTCTTTTGACTTTGTGCTATCCATAATTAAAAAGCTATAATATTTCTTTAATACTAGCAATAAGACCTATTTCTGTCATTTCACACCATACTATGTGGCATAATTGGACGTAATAAGTTAAAAGATGGGAAATAAAAACCTTCTGATTGATGGATTACACCTTCATTAGGCGTGTAATAATCTGGATTTTTTAACGTTTGTTTTCTATTCTAAAAATATATTCTGTGGGTCATGTCACAATATTCTAATAATGGAGGGAGGGGAGTTTTTAACTCCTTGAGAATATATTCTATTTGGAGATCAACTGAGATATGAAATGTCTCACAACAAAAAGTCAGGCAAGATTTGGGGGAATTTGGAAGAGATTGGCAATGAAATAATGGCAGACTAGTAAATGTGGTTTGTCAACAAATAAACGCTGAATAAATTTATCCACGGATATTTTTTTGGCTGTATTTATTTTTTATATTTATTTTAATTTTTTTTAGTTCTTTAGAATTACAGTCTGTTGCACAGCAGTACAGTCCACCATGTTTTGTGTATCACTTTTGTATTGCTTTGTAAGACAACGTTCTTAGAACATAGAGATTCACTCTCATTTCTGAAGGTTAACCACACCTTACATGGATTCTCACACATTTTCTAGTCGTGTGTGATGTCATCGGGTGCCGACAACCTCGTTTTAGGTTGTCTCAGATGGTCTCCATTCTGTTGATATACATGCTTATTTATATTCATAAAACAATTGGTGATTTATCAATACTGCGCATGATGGAACCAATAAATTTTTCAGCATCCTTATGATGTTTGTAATAAAATGTTCAGCATTACTAAGGGAAACAAATGATGTACATATTTGTTATCATAATATACATTTCTGTTATCATAAAGCTCAATAAGATTAAATCTGTACAGTTTTCAACATCTTGTTTCCTAAATTTCTTGATGTGTAGGTATATTAAGGTAGCTTGCTGAGTTCACAAAAGACTTGAATTTGGTGTCCCTTATTACTATATTAAATAGGCTTAGGTGTGAAGGGGGAATTATGGAGGGGAAGTTACAGAGAGGAAACTTTTAGGCATGACTTTAACTTAAAAAAATAACTGAACCATGTATTTGCTTATAATACTTTTGTTCTAGTAAAGCAGTATATGTTAATAGCTTTTAAAACAGCATGATATGAAAAAGATAAACTAAGAGCATTGTAGATATTGAACAGATAGTGTATGTGAAAAATGAACCGAACATGAGAATCCTGGTAATCTGATAGAGTAAAGCCCTTTTAATCTTTTATTTGCTTTTTCAAAACGCTATAAAGTGGCCCCTTAAATATTAGTTATGTGTTCTACTGTGTATTAAGGCTAACATAATGTATATTAACTATATTGTTCTGGATGTAATATATCTTACCTGTTGGAAGTAGAGAAAAATGGCAGGTACAAATGTGATTTATTTCAAAATTTCATTTTGCATGAATGTTATCCAATGATTTTCATGTAATTGGGACCTTTTTTAAAGTTAGTGTTATTTTTTCTTTTAGTTGTATGAGCTGTCAGATGACTCCAAGAGAAAAGAATTTCTGGATGAATTGTTTGACTACATGCAGAAGAGAGGTAAGATTCTTCATTGTCTTAATATTTCTTTTTTTTTAAAGTTATTCTTTTGCTTTTTTCTTGTTCTATGAAAATATTAATGGTGTTACAGATGTCTATACATTTATTGTTGAAATACTTGCAAACAATCATAAAATCTTTCTATATATATTTCACAATTTTCAGGTGTGGAATCTTTGAAATTAGCATTCTAAATAGATACCACAGAAATAGTGAGGTTACATGTGTCCCTATAGAATTACATTATCTTATGAAATGCATCCAGTTATTTTAGGTCTTACATATATTACATATATGTATATTTTTTTCATAAATGATGTTTAAAGTAGGGGAAATAGGTTTTTTCACACAGAGCTGTGTCTCGTGTTATAAAGGACCCAATGAAATCAATACAATGGCAAAAAACTTTTTTCAGAATAAAAAAAAAATATGTTTAATTCAAAAGGATTGGTTAGCCAAAATTGCTCTGGCAAAAATTAAATGTTTTCTATCTATTTGGTAGTATATAACAGACAGACAGGTCTCCACTCTGCCAGCCCCTGTCTTTGCTATTAGGGTCATTTTCCCAATCAATTACTGGATTAATCTGCTACGAGGTGGAGCCCTTTGGCATCAGTAGCAGGCCACATCAATTTCTTGAATTGCGCAATGATTGCTACGCAGAGCCAAAAGAGTGAAAGCACTTGTCACTGCCACCGCTGAAAATGATGGTGCTAAGTAGAGCTCTGTCTCCAGCCACTGTCATTATGACCCTGCTCATGATGTAATGGCGAACCATATGATACAGACACTCATGATTGTGCCCCAGGGGAGGAATGTGAGCCGAGGATTTAATCTGATACATGATGATCTACAACATGATGAACAATTTCACCTGTCAACAGCTACATCTTCCACATCATTGTGGCTTTCACTGTATGATGACCAGATGGTAATAGCCACTTCCTTAGGGTGGGGGGGGGGGAGAGAACAGTTAGGCTGCTATTTTTAATGATAATTGATGTAAGATTTGATATTTTTATTTCAAAAGAAGAATATCCATCTTTGCTACTTTCTTACTTTTTATTCCTGGATTTTTTCTTCTACCTCTACCAAGTGTACTAAAAATTAGAATGTTATTGAAATATTCAGTTTGTAAATATTGATGTCAGTTTTGCATTCCAACAGCCAGCTTCATATTATTTCCACAGAACTTCTGTCTATTCCCTTTTTTAAAATTGACTACATAACAAGCACTTTCTTTCTACAGTTTATAGCCATTACACTTCTGCTCAAGCTGGTGTGACATCATTTGGCCATTGTTTACCTTGAGATGGTGACATGTTTCAGGAATTAGGTGTCAGCTGGCTGTTCAGTGTCACATTTAACTGATAGGTCAAACATTTTAAAGACAAAAGACATGGCAATTCAGTCATTGGAATGTTGACAGTTGGGATCCATATCAATTATAAGTGGAATTGATGAGTATTGGTAGTTGTGAGTCAGAATTTTTGTTATTATTATTATTATTTGGCTACTGATAGGACTTTATAAACTATATTGGTTTATGTTTTTAAAGATGATTTTGTGAAATATTTTCTCAGTGCAAGACCAGGAAATTGTCCTCTCCTGCTTGCAAAGGCCTAGTTTTTTCCTAAAATTTGGTAGTTTATTAGTCTGTTATGTTATGAGATCAAATATCTGATTAATTAACCATAAGCATCTAGCATCTTACCGATTTTTGTCTTATTGGGAGCTTTACTGGTTAAATTTACTGCTTATCTTGAGGAATATTGAAAAAAATGCAAAAATCATATTTGGATTCTATAATTTTGGATCTTTCAATTTATCTAAAAATATGTGAGAAGCCTGTGAATATTTTTCTCTGGTACTGGGTCAAAAAGAGTGAAAAGGGTTGCATCTAAATTTCCAACTTGGAAGTGGTAAGATTTTCTACTGTAAGACATTTTCTCATAGCTTAACATTTCTAGACATATATGAATCAATAAATTATTTTTTCATACACAGGGTACATTAATATGGTAGCTTTTAAGCTATTGCAAATACCTAACTAAATCATCACACCTTGGCACACTTGCCTTGCTGATTACTTTTCACTTTTAGCTTCCCATTGGGATTTAGTATAAACTATCATTTACAAGAAAATGTATGATTTCTTTTTTCTTTTCTTTCACCATACAACCACATGTTCTGATCCTTCTCATGATATAAGGAATCTCAATCTAAATTTGATCCCCACTATTTTCAAATGCAGCTGTTGTTTTTGATGGCCTTTTTGTAGTGTTCAGCCAAATGTCAGACATTAGATCAAGCTAAAATATAATAAATTAGATGTCCAGATTGTGGATAGGGCATCTGTGAGCCTTTTTTTTTCTTCTTCTTCTTTGGGTTATCAGCATTTTCCCAGGTAAGTTGTTCTATTTGCCAGGTGTGACCCCTGTAAGTGGGGCAGCACACCAAGTCTGACTCCTTGCCACTGATGGAGCAGAAATGATGTACAATAATTCACCAGGATTTAACCACTTTGTTGTTATTCACTCATACTGTAGATCCAAACTATCCCCCCTCCTTCTGCCTTTCCCGCACTGTTCATTTCCTTCCAAACTTCTAAAATTGGAAAAGATAAAAAGCAAAACAACAAACCACAAAGGCATATGCTATTCAGCTGTGTACAATACTGTTAGTTGATTTTTTAAACGATTTGAAATGTATCAATTCAACCAAAGAAACTAATTATCTTCTTTTCTGTAAGACTTGTTGGTAGTAATTTGTAATATTAACATTTTTTATGTAAGAATACATATTTTAAGATATAAAATGTGTTTTTCAGCTTCAGCAGGAACATTAAGATTTGTATGAAGGGAATCTGAGAATTTATGTTGTATATTTCCACAGTAATAAAAGAATCTCTTACCCAACCTGAAGATGAATATATTTTTTGCATATACAAGATAATGCAATTTGATATTAGGTAGTAAGAGGATTTATTATTTTTTCTGTTAATGTTCCCAAGTATTCGAGATTAGAACTGTATGACATTGAAAAAAAACAACAAAAAACTTGGTCCATGAATTGCCATCCGGCATAAATTCACTAAATATAATGTGATAAGGTTGAATCACAACTTTGCCTCAAATGAAAGATTCCACGATACATACTCAGAACAAATAATCATGGTCTACTTTATTCCCAGTTTACACCTATTAAATGTACATCACCTTGTGCATATAAAAAGTAATGCTGTTTAACCAGTTGGTATACTTTTTTATATTATTATTATTATTATTCTATTTTATTTTGTATCTTTTGCAATGCCTCATCTATTTTGTTCAAATGACACATGGGGGAAAAATAGTATCAAGCAATCTGTTTAACTGAGCAAAAGAAGATGAGAGAGAATTGCATTGCCATTATTAGGTGCTAAAAGTTCAGTTGTGGTTAAATGAACTAATAAAAATTATCAGCTGATGTAAAAATGATTACTGCAGATTTTACCGAATTGATTTTCCATGAAAAATACATATTTTACCGTATCCCTTTTTTAAACAGCCTGTATTTATGTTTCAGTGATATGATATGATGCACTCTTTAAAAGTAATGAAAGTGCTTTCATTCTCAAAAATTGTATTTTGGAACAAAATGAAAGTCTAAGTAATGGATGTATCTTGGCTTAAAGTGTTTAAGTCTTATTGTTTACTAAAAACATGAAATTATAACTGATTTTTTTAAACAATATTAATACTACACTTTAACAACAAATAAAAAAATATAGTTGATGACAAAATTCTGATAGGTCAGTTTTCAGTCACATCATTTGAATGGATCTTTGGATTGCTGTGTTGTAATGATAACACTTGGACAGTTGACCAAAAATTGAGGTGACAAAAAAACAGCATGCTGCAATCTTGTGAAGCACCTAGGTGCTGTAATATCGGAAATAGGGGAAGAAAGGGAAATAAATTGCAACAAAACTAAACAAGTAGCACCGGTTTCACAGAAACGGCAGTTTTCACTGCAACAAGTGGACTCTGTAATGGTGGGCATATAAACACATTGTCCACACCTGTATCAGGCCCCTGTTTCACAAAGAAAGTAAAACCCTTAATTGACATGCTTCGCTACGTGACTTACCTAAGCTAGGAGTAACTCATCAGAAATAGGTAAATGAAGAAGATACTTGGATTAAGATTAGTGATGAAGATAGTGGTTTTGAATCTTGTATTGATATGATATTTTTGTGTTAAGAACCCGGCAGGGTGATGTTCAGAAACGTCAAAGAAGATTTTAAGTATGACTGAAAGATTTGATGTTTCTGTTATTTGCCGCCATAAAAAAGTTTCCATGAATTGTCCCTTTAACATTTTATGCATTATATGGTACAATACAGCGCAAATATTTCTCAGTTTCCTTTTCTTTTCCTGGATAGATCTTGTGCAGCATTGGAGCTAACTTTGTTCTTGATTTGATCAGTTTGAGATAAATCGGTCATGGTTCATCACCTGGGCATGGAGCTGTTATTTACAGGGTATGACCAATTTTTTATTCCAAGGAGAAGATGTGCGTCAGGTGGTAATAAGCACATTTGTAAAGGTCAGATTGAGTCTTATTTTTCATTTGATGGAGATTCCAGGTAACCGTGTAGAATTCTCTGATGCAGCATAACACTGTTAGATGGAAGCTTCCAGCCGACTGGAATGCTGACAGCACTGTTAGGCATGGCTCAAAGTCATAAGTAGCTTAATGGCAGGCAACATCAAAAAACTAATTCAATAAAAATGTTCATTGCCAAAGTAATAGACCCGCCATCAAAAAATTCCTCCCAATAAAGGCTGTTACTCATTTACTGGAACTCTAGCTGAAAAAGTTCCTTTTTGCCAGATTGGTTCTTGCTCAGGAGCTGTGTTTCCAGACCCAGTGTCATGCATAGCTCCCATATTTTATGATAAAGTTTCACTTGAAACAGCTATGTAAATACCCCTGCCACACAAAGGTCATGTTTT